CATGAGAACCAAAGCAGTACTCAGAAGAGCCTGACTCACAATGGCCTATGGGGTTGACCAGTTGATCATAGCATCTCTAGGAAAGAAATAGATGGGAAGTATACTAAATTCTTGCTTGATCTATTTAAGCTGAAAAGTTATATGTCTAGTGAATAGAAGTCTGCTTGAACCACCAAAACAGAGCGTCATGGCCTTTCAATCGATTCCCAGACTTAAGCCAGTTTACAGACCCAGAACCCCTCTAATGAAGGAAAGGCCATGTCCCAAGAGGAAAAATTCTGTTATGTTGCCAAATATACATATTGTTAATCTTTCTCCCAGTCTTCTCCAAGAGGATCTCAGCCATTTACCAGTGTGACTGCATTGAAGAAAGGAAATTAAACAGATTTTTGAAGATTATTGGACACTGGCTCTAAACTGACACTGAGACCCGTGAGTCCAGGAGACCCACAGCCCGGTTCAAGTTGGCTGTTGGCCTGTGCAGGAGACAGAGATGGATCTTGGAGAACGAGTGTGGATTATCATAAATATAATCAGGTGGTGATTCCAACTGCAGTGGCTATTTCAGATATGGTTGCATTGGTTGAGCAAATCAATACAGAGGCTTGCTGTTTTTTATCAATTTTGGAAATTTATCCACCTATATTTCTTCAAATAATGGCTCCAATGCTCTTGAGCTCTCTGACCCAAAACATCATTCAGCCTGCTGTGCCTCAATTTCCCCATCTGGAAAATGGGGTAATAGCCCCTACTTCGTAAAGGTGCTGTGATGATTCAATAAATATCATAAGTGTTACAGGAGTGTTAGCTCTGCCTCTGTCACAGCTATGACCCTTGTCATCCATGCGAGGAAATAGTTGAGGGTGACCAGGGAATGGAGACAAAGTAATGGCAAATGTTTCAGAAATCTCTCAATCATAGCCACAGTTAAAAGACCTAACTGCCTTTCCTGATGGAATTAGAATGGCCCAGTACCTCCACAGATCCTATTGTTGCTGAAGGGCAGCTTCCCAAGTGCCCCCCACTGAATTCATTGCCTTTTGTCACTTCTTTGGCCCCCTCATCCCTTCCTTGAGGCTCTAGACCACAGGTGTTAGGTCCGAAGGTACAAGTTCCGGGAGAAGAGAGGTTGTGACTTCGCAAGGCTTCCCCTACTTGGCCTGCCAAAAGAAAAGGCTCTCTCCCGTTCCTCCACCCGAGCTTTAATCATCCCTGAGACAGAAGAGCCCAAAGAAGTCTCCAGACATTTCAGACAAGAGCATGCCACCCTTGTTGAAAACAATTCCCAGCCCCCAGCTGTGGATGACCTCGTCCCCCAGCTTCCCTGCCTATTAAACACATGACAGCACATTAACTAATTGCTGGGAAACAAGGCCTTGAAGAATCTGTTTCAAAAGAACCTGCAGCAAGATTGTCAAAAGAAGAGCGCTGGCCGGGAGTGGGATTGGCGCCCAGGGCTTGGAGCCTGGGAACACAGCCCCACTGGCAGGGATTCTTCTGGCAGCTGAGGCACCAAGTCCAGGGCCAGCTGTCAAAGATGCTGTGAATTCAGAGCTGGGATCTGGGAGGTCATAGAGCTGGCCCCCTCTGCTCTGAACAGAGGCCTCAGTAAGTACACATCTGTCACATCTGTCCTGTTCAAGATTCCATTCTTCTCAGAGAGGCCCTGTGACAATACCGCGGTCCTCCTCTCTCTAGCCCCTGCCCTCCAGAGGCTGAGTACAGAGTCACCTCTGGGTGGGACCTCGGGCTGGAAGCACAGAAGTATCCAGAATCACCTCCTGCTGTGCTCTCCAGCCCCCACCAGTGCTCTCACCCAAACTTGCCACTTCTCGTTTGTATTTCCAGACTACTCAAATCCAATCCATCCCGCACCATGTTTCCTAAGCACTTGCTGATCACTATTAATCAGCAAGCTGGCGGTGCTGCCGCCCGCCCATGTGAGCATGTTGTTAATGATGGGAGAAGACTGCCAAATGGCCAGCTCGGCTCCGGATGGTGAGATATGGGTCTTGTCCAGACTGAGGAGGCAAAGGCATCGCCGCAAGCCATCTGGCATGGAATGGAGATCCCTGGGGCTTGATAACGAGAACTGAGCAGGCCCTCTCTCTGCAAAGAACAATGTTAAGAGTCCATCCACGTGCCCCCCTACCTCCTTTCATACCTGGTGATCTTGGAGACCGAACAGGGTGGAGGGAAACCTCAGGGATGAAGAAAGGCCAGCTAGCTGCCCCTACATTAAAGCCCTATGCATTTCCCCAGAAGCCGGGATCTGGAGACCGCCTGCAGCAGCCGCCACAGGAGGGAAGTAAGCTAGGTCATCAGAAGTGCTTCCCGATGCAAAGGGTTGCTAAAACTATTCTAGGACAGGTTACTAAGAAAAGAAGTGTTAGGTATGACCTGCAGATCCTCTACTCCAAGTTTATTAGCTCAGTCTGCGCTACATTTATATATGCTCATGTACAAGTTTGCTTTTTCTATCAATACATGAAATTGAGGGACCTGGTCTAGTATTTATTTGGTGACCCTTGGTGTCTTCTCCCAGGGGAGATCATACCCTCTGGATGCCCAGCTGTGGTACTGACCAGGCATCCCCTGAGTGATGAGATGAGTGGCCGTGTCAACAAACCTTTGCAAATCAGACAAGGGGCCAGACCCTGGGTTAGAGACTGAGGAACATCATGAAAAAACAATAGAGGTTAATAATAGCACAGGGAGCGCATCCTGGGGGCCAAAGGTGTGGCCCAGCAAGAACTCAGCAATTCAGAGGGAGGGGTCTGAGAAGTCAGTGCAGGAGGCTCTGCAGGGGGTGGAGCCTGACGACTAGGGAAGGGTAGGCATAAGGTGTACATCATGATTGGTTGGTTTCTAACAGGGGGATTTCAAAAAGGCCCACAGGGAGCCATTTTGGGGAACTGCTGTCTCTTCCTAGGAACCTGCCCTGAAATGGGTGCCCAGAGCCACAGGCTTCTTAGAGTCTGTCACATAGAGGACATGTCCTTTAATTAGGGGCAGGGTCTGGAGGAGGGGGAGCTCTTGGAGGAGTCTTTTCTGCCTCCCACAGCCTCTCCCAGGCCTAGGACAGGGCTCAGGGCACCATCCCAACCCCGCCCCCATGGGGAACAGGATCAAGGAAGGTGCAGCAGCTCACCCGTCTGCCCCAGGGTGGCATTGGAGCCACCAAGAGTGGCAGGCTCAGCTGCCAGGCCCTGCTGAGCCAGGACCCCCAGAACTAAACACAGGGTCCCTCCCCCTCCCCTGCCGGCCCCAGGCCTGTCGCTTTGATGTGGAGAGCAGTTCTCAGGGGGCCAAACCTCAAGCCCCCCTGGGATAAGTGGGCCAGGCCCCTGAGTCTAGAAGTAACTGAGGGACCCTCCTCTACTCTCTTCTCCACATGGAGCTGCAAAGGAACCAGCAGGAACGAAGTCAAAGTTTCCAGAAAGAAAGACTATTTTAAAGGCTGTATGGCATGGTGGTTAGGAATGAAGCCCCTGGGCCCAGAATGTGAAGGCGTAATTTCTAGCTCTGCCATTTATTAGCTCGTGACCTTGAGCACAGAGGAACCAGCAGGGATGAATGAAGTTTGGTCTGATTCTCTTTTTTTTTTTGAAGAAGAAGACTGGCCCTGAGCTAACGTCTATTACCAATCCTCCTCTTTTTCCTGAAGAAGATTGGCCCTGGGCCAACATCCATGCCCGTCTTCCTCTACTTTATATGTGGGACACCCGCCACAGCATGGCTTAATAAGCAGAGCGTAGGTCCGCACCCGGGATCCGAACCTGTGAACCCCAGGCCGCCGAAGCAGAGTGCACGAACTTAACCACTATGCCACCGGGCCAGCCCCAAGGTTGATCTGATTCTTAAGGTCTTACATCCTCATCTGTAAAATGGGGACGAATAATAACACCAACCTCATCGGGTTGACTTGAGGAATAAACGAGCCATAATACAAAATGCTTGCAACATCACCCAGCATGTTGTAAGCACTCAAAAAACAAAAAAACAGTGCCAGCTATTATTATTAAACACCCTCTGGCAATGGCAGTGTCACCATTTCCATACAGGGAGGGTTTCCAGAAGCATCTAAGTGCAAGGGGAGCTTTGAGACTTATTTTGAAAATGCATTTGCATAGCAAGCAAGCCTTTGTTCCTTTTTCAATATTTTTTCATACCGTAAGGGGATAAGAGAAATCTTTTCTTCACCGGGTTCTTAGGAGGATTAATTGAAATGACACATATAACGTGCTTAGACCAGTGCCCAACTCACCGAGCTCACTGAATGTTAGTGATGTTAGTTAATGTTTGGGGTGGCTCGAGACGACACTGGAGGTGACAAAGGTGGGGGAGGTAAAAGTGCCCCCACTACAGCCAGGAAACCTCTTGTTGGGAAGCTCTGCTCTGTTCTACAGTGAACATGAATCTTCCCTGCTACGGTGTGAGACAAGCATTTAGACACGAGAATTTCCTGGGAATCCATCAGGGTGTCAGACCCGGGCCAGGTTTCCCAGGAAACTTGCTGCATTTCTTCTCCTGGAGGTGCTCATTGGTCTGGGACGAACCTAAGGGTTCATGGTCGTGCCTGCCCAAAGACCAGACATCATGACCTTTTGAAGGCCCTTTCGGCCTCTGGACTCTAGATGCAAAACATCTGAGCTCCAAGAGCAAGGACCAAGGACATCTAGTCCACCTGGATCACCTGGGCTTAGGGTCGGGAAGGGACACAGGTGCTGGACTATAAACAAAGAAATCCTGAGCACCCCTTGCTCTCTGGCTGAGAATCACACAGACACACACTTTCACCCGCTCACCTGCTCCAGGCCTGGTCCTGACCCCCTCCCAGGGAAGCCCACGGGATGGAGAGAGGGTCAGGGGCCTCCAGCCACCGGGAGAACTCACTTTATGCCAGCAGAGAGTTGAACCCATTGTGCTGCCTCAGAAATCAGCACTGAAACAGCAGGGCCGAGCTTGCCCGTTTCGGCCACCAGCTCAGGATGCTTTACCTCGTGGATCCCAAAGTGGGCGTAGGAGTCGAAGTAATAATCTCTGGAGGTCATCTCCTCCGGGTTCAGCAGCTTGGACATCTTGCCCCGTCCTGGGCAGCTGGGTTGAGTGGACACATGGTGGACACATTGCACAGGCTTGGGTGGGACAACAGGCTGGGGGGGCTGCGAGGGGAGACTGTTCACCTGAGGGGAAGAGAAGGGGCTGGGGTTAACAGTGGCAGCAGATCCTGCCCTGAGAGTCCGCCCCTCCTTCCTTCCCCTCCTGAGCCCCGCTCCAATCAGCCACAGCGGCCACTCCAAAGGGGTGGCTGGTCCCTTCAGGCTTTCTGGCAGTCAGCTTGATCGCTGTGATTTGTGGAGAGGTGGCATGTTACTGAGGAGCCAAACAGACCTGATTTAATCCAGTTCCACCTCTTACTAGTTGGGTGACCTGAGCCGATCTAGGCCTCAGTGTCCACGTCTATTAAACAGGGACAATAATACCTTCCTTTACAGGAAAAGGGAAAGAGGTATAGCATCGCATCGCAGAGTAGAGCATGATGGCTGCAGTGTAGATTCCAGAGCCCTTCTACCAAGACTGAATACCAGCCCTGCCACTTACTTGCTATACAACCTTGGGCAAGTTATTAACCTCTCGGTACCTCACTATCCCCGCCTCTGAAGTGAGAATAACATGGGCCCCATCTCCTAGAGTTGTCCTGAGGATTAGATAAGTTAGCTTAGAAAAGGGCCTAGCACATAGTAAATGTTCATTAACTAAAATGAATCTCACCTGCACCCTTAGGAAGATGGAGCCCATGGGCTTATCTCCTCCCAACAAGCAGCACTTGGCCCCCGAGTACAGGTCTCTTAGTTCTGGTGTCTCACCCCCTTTGTCTTGCCCTCCTAGTTTCTGATTCACAGTTTTACTCTGAACTTCAGCAGAAGTTTACTCTGAACTGTGAATACCCACCCTGACGGCCAACCTCCTGCCTGGGCACTACCAATGACTGCTCTTTCTGCATCCTGCAACCCTGCATCCTGCCCAGCACTGCACCCCACTGCACCCCACTGCTGCTGCCCATTGCTGACTGGCTCCTCCTCCACAGACTAAGAGGAGGGAGAAGGACGGAAGCTCAGGGAGCTTCCGGGGCCCAGAAGCTCAGACTTCCCTGCAGAAGCGGAGTTATGCCAGGAGAAGAACCGCCTCTCCCTGGAGTGTAGGAAACCTAGATGTGCACAGCAAAGTCCTCAAAGCAGAGGAGAATTTTAAAAACAGAGAGGCGGTAGTCTCCATTCACTGGTCCTCTGGGGCTGAGGATCAGGGGTCCTGGGTCCTCTCCTGGCTCTGGTAAAATTAAAGATGGATATTGGGAAGCAGAGGGCACGGTGCACAAGTGCAAACCTGGGTCACACTGCCTGGCTTTGAAACCCAGCCCTGCTACTTGTTGGCTGACAAATCACTGTGCCTCAGTTTCCTCTTCTATAAAACAGAAGTCATAACAAAATCTACCTGAGGGAGTTGTCAAGAAGTTTGATGAGTTAATATTCATAAAGAGTTTAAAACACTACCTGGCATATAGTAAGTGCTTTATTATTATTATTATTCAGATCACATAAACATGCCCCTGTTCTGTGCCTCAATTTCTCATCTGTGAGTTGGGTCAGCTCAGACTTCCTATCTCCTTTCCAGCAGAGAAAATAGGGAGGTCCTAGGACAGAGGAAGATCAAGAAATCCGAGGGATTCTATCCCTTCCGTCATGCCGTGGGCACAGCCCCAAGACTGCCCTGTGTCCCGAGCTGGGGGGAGCAAGCTGGGGAGAGTGTGATGGTCCCATTTTCCTGGTGTATCTAGGCTACAGCCTCTGGGAAATAAGCAGACTTCCCAGTTTAGCAACATCAGATTTCAGGTCGGCAAGATCCCGGGCTGGCTGGCAGAGGCAGTCGGGCGGCCTCATTAGAATGCAGCAGGTGCGCCCACCCTCAGCTTGGGATGTTGGTCACGGTCTCCCAGAGGCTAAAAATAGACTGTGTCAATTGCAAACTCCCATGCTGGCTGCAGAGTCACCTCTAAAGCTGAAGAAGGCTCTGTGCATGAAGCTGACCCCAATCTTGACTCTATTTAAATATATTAAGGAGAGAAAAAGTCTAACTGTTTCAGGCAGCATGTGTGGCCAAGGTCACAGGGGCCTCTGCACCCCTTAGCTGCTATTCAACTCTGACTCCAAGGACCTTTTTCTACCAGGATCCCTGAGACTCTTTCTCCAGCAGCCAACTTACAAAGTGTCTGCCATGCACCACACATTGCACTCATGAGGCAAAGGGATGAATGGATTTGGGAGCCATTCACCTCAATACCCACAGGACACGGGAACAAAGAGGTGACTGTGGCCCAGTGCCTGGTCCTGGAGGCTGTGTGCCCAGCTCAGCCTCCTGCAGAGGGGACTTGCAGTCTGCCCATCAGCTGACAGGTGTGCTGGGGGTCTGTCTCCTGGGACAGGCCGGGAGCGGGAGGGGGAGGAGCAGTGGCCCACGATCCCTGGGCATTCAGCACCTGGGGTGCTGCTTTTTATTCCACAGATACCTGCTGACCATCTGTGGCGGCAGGTCCTGTGCGGGTCTGTGGAAGAAGTAGGAGCAGCGCCCTCAGGGACTCTGCTTTCTGGTGGGAGTATAAGACCTTTGAGGGCTCCAAGAGACGATGGAATAAGGTTTGTTTTAGAAGAGAAGTTCAAGCAAATTGTTCTGGGGGTTTAAAGGAGAGAGAATTCACTTCAACTTAAGGAATCAGAAAACACTGGGCTAGCTGGCAGTGGGGCAGGTGGGGAGCTTTCCGGATGGATTTTGGTAGATGGAGATGGTGGGAGGGAATTTTAGGAGGAAGGAACAGCTTGAGCAAAAAGGTAAAGGGGCAGGAGAGCAGTGAGCTTGTTTGGGGAGCAACTTGGCTGAGACGGTGGGAGATTCAGTTGAAAGGGAATTCCAGCCATGCTAAGAGGTTGTAATTAAATACAAGATAATGGGGAGCTGTTGGTGGTTTGTAACCACCGGAGTTCTATGTGTGAGCTCTGCTTTAGGAAGATTTATGTGGTGGCAGTGTGTGTGCAGGAGGGGACAAGGAGGAGAAAGGAAGAGTGGAGGCACTGGGAGTGGGGAGGCAAAGTATGAACTTAGGAGGCTATTTTCAGAGTCCAGTCAAGAAATAATGAGACCCTGAACTACTGTTATGTTAGAGGCGCTGCCTGCCAGAGAAACTGCAGAAATAGCATCCATAGGAGTTGGCAACTGACAGCACGTAGGGGAAAAAAGAGAAGCTGGAATCAAAGATGACTTCAACATTTCAAGCCCGGGTGACTAGGAAAATGGTGGTGACATTAACAGAAATAAGCAAGTCAGCAGGAGGAGCAGGTTGGGGCGGGGGAAAATAATGAATTTCAATTTAGATATGTGAGGTTGGAAATGTCATTGAGTCATATAAGAAAAGATGTCTAACAAGCAGACAGTAATGCATTCCCAGTCAACAAATATCATCAATAAAATTGAAAGGCAAATGATGTACTGAGAAGTACATTTCTACATATATGGCAGACAAAGGTTAGCATCCTTAACATGGGGAGAGCTCTTACAAGCCAATAAGAAAAAGATGAACATCCCCAGTTTAACACTGGGGAGAGGGTCTTCTAGTCAATTCACATGGGAATAAACACAAATGGCAAATTAACGTGCAGCAAAAATATTTACCCTCTCTAGAAACTGGGCAATTTCAAATTAAAACCAAAAAAGTTAGAGCCAGCCCTGATGGCCTAGTGGTTAAAGTTCGGCGCTCACCACTTCAGTGGCCTGAGTTTGCTTCCCTGTCGTGGAACCACACCACTCGTCTGTCAGTAGCCATGCTGTGGTGGCAGCTCATGTAGAAGAACTAGAATGGCTTACGACTAGGATATGTGACTATGTCCTGGGGCTTTAGGG